GATTACGGACGCCGCGCGCGGCCCCGAAGCAGAAGACGCCCGCGACTGTGCTCGTCTGTGAAAGTCCCCGAGCGAGGTCGGTCTAGCGATGTGAGTGGCCGCTATGGCCTGCACAAGAGACTCAATCTCCGCCGCCGGGTCCAAACTCCCTGTCCGAGAGCGCGCCTTGATGGACGCTGCCGGTGGCGCCATCACCAATTCCTTGCCATCCACAGACATCGCCAGAGAAAACGTGAACCGACTCCCCTCATCCACCTTCGACTCCACCCTCAGCTGCCCGCCGAGCCTGTGAACGAGTTCAGCCGAACGAACACGATAAATGAAGAACCATCAACGCACTGCTCCACTATCCTGACCACCACAGCGAGTCCCAGCCCCGCATCACTGAGGGGAATGGGCTTGAGCTCCATCGTCTCGACCTGCTCAAACTCGCGAAACATGCTCCCCAAGCTCTCCACATCGATTCCACACCCGGTATCCGCCACGACGATTTCGATAACGGTTTCATTCACACCGCGTACGCCTTCCGGGTCCGCGAGTGTCGTGCAGCCGACCGTGATCGTTCCTTCCGACGTGTACTTCACTACGCGGCGGTTCACCGAAAGTCAAGTCTGCGATGATGGAAACACGTACAAGCGTTATCGGTCAGATTTTGCACCACGGTTCGAATCTTTTTCACGTCCCCAATGACCGTCGTCGGCGAATGTTCAAGCTCTATCTTGAATGCGATATTTCGCCGTTGTGCCTCCCTGCGATAAAGATGTGTCGCATCCTCAATGGTGTCCCGTAAATTGAAGGGCTCGTTATTGGATGTCTCCTGTCCGCTCTCGAGGCGACTCAGGTCCTGCAAAATGATTTGAGTATCTCGTCTTGGAGATCCACACACACTGATAGCGCACCAACAGGTCATTGATCGTGAAGAGCAAACTCTGGACAGGCATAAGATTCGATCGGGATCAAGTCAGGACGCGTTCGAACCTTGGATGCAGCATGCGAGCGGTTGAGATTGTCACGGATCTCATCATCCAACGGTCCATTGAGCGCCATCTCCAAATAACTGGCCACAAGTAAGTATGCCTCCGAAAACTAAGCGAAAAAACGCACTTGATGATGTGGTTTAACGGGGTTCGAACTGGCGATAGGGGCGTGAGAAACCCATAAACGAACTTTTCTCGGACCTCACCTTCGTGCGACGCATTAGAGAGCAGCAAATTCGTAAGCCGGGTCGTCTGCAGCGCATTCTCCTTCAACCTCCACACTTCGATGAACTATACGGCGGTTAAATATACTCCCAAACGTCAATCGACAGGCCCACCTTGCCATACACCAGTGCGAGCACGCCGGCCGTCTCAAGCTGCTCGTCCGTCCACGCGCGACACCGACCAGTCTGCATCTCAGACCAAACCGCGAACGATTTGCGCGGCTCGAGCATTGTATCTGGCCGAGTTTTCGTATTCGGATTTCCCAGCCCAGCGCACATGCCTGCAGCTGCCCTTTACGAAGGACGCAAATGAAATCTTTCCATCGGGGGACAACGGCACATAGAGCATTCCAGCAACGACTTCGAGGCCGGCGAATTCCGGGAGGTCATCAAAATCCTTGGTAATGGCCTGCGAAATTTGGATCGTGCTGGTTTCCAGTGAAAATACACAAAAAAGTTCACAGTTAGGATGTGGTGCACAGAAGAATTGGCGAAAATACTGACGTGAACTGTTTGACTCGCAGATACGCCGCCATGGTGAGGATTTCCTGTCCATGGTCACTTGGTCCCAATAGCTTAGCAGCTCCCCCAATCTACATAGACCTCCTAAGTACGGAGGAGTTGGAGCCCTGATTAAAGCCACAAACAACAAGGACTCCGAAATCTGCGTCGAACAGGCTTAAAAGGTCATCAGCATCACTTACAATATATCCCGCCTAAAAGATTTCACCCAAATCGCCATTGAGTTGGTTCCGAAGGGTACGAAAGCTCGACCCACAGGATGATATTCGGATGTCATCGTATTGATCTATATTGAGCGTTGTTGGTATCGCAGATATATAATATCGCGTATTTGCGCACCAGTTTCCTCGTCGACAGCCGTTGAGCGTAGTGGAGACGCTCAATGTTCCGTGATATTGACTGGCTCATGAGGCGCAGGATTTGCCGCACAGGAAAAGACACGCGCATGCCCTGCGCACCGTACGAGTGGCAACTCACGAGCCCCCATAACCGACCGGACGCCATGATCGACTGGGAGGTGTGAGTGACTTGGATGAAGAATAAATGAAGACACGCACAACAGACATCGAAGCCCGCACGCCCATGTTTTCTAAATCTGTGCACACCTCATCAACGACTCCGATCGCGCAACCGCTATACAGACAGAACACACATTTAACGTGGATTGGGCTCACGGCACGTAGGTAACAATGGGTCATGTTCTGAGAATACCGTCAAGGTGAATTCCAACGACGAAAACAACAGAACATACCAGCGGCGTCTTCAGGTCCTCTGCACTGCGCACGACGATACGCGCGGTACTTTGTGAGCGGTCGTATAGTAATCGGACCTTGTCTGTTGGGATAGTCAGTGTGGGGAAGATCGAATTGCGGTCAAAAGTCGCACTGATCGCATACAACTTTCTCGCCTGTTACCGCTGCATTATTTTTCATCTGTCAGCATGGAAGTATCAACGCACCTGCGCTGGAATATCGACTGCGGGAAAATGCAGTCCCCGAAATATTTCATGGGTTTTATCCCAGTCCAGCAATTCTGCGACGACCTAGATGATGAGCCCCCAATTTTGCGGTAATTTGTTCAACTCATACCTGACCATTCCATGCCTCATCAAACTGATATACGAGCACGCGGTGGAATTGTGATAGATCTTTGATCACACCGACGACGACCTGGAGAAACGACGGGAGGTCCGGCGCCTCTCCAAGCTGTTCATCGAGCTGACCCATCACCGCAAACACGTCCATCATGCCGACACTGCCGGGCGCACTCCCACCAGCGCGTTGCGCCCGGCGCCCGCGCGTCTCTGAGGGCGGTGGAGAGGTGCTGTCCGAGCTCGCTTCCGGATTGACACGGGCGATGCGGCGCAGACGTTCGAGTGCAAGCAGCGGTCTTGCGCGTGAGGTTGTGCTTTCGAGGATGTCCTCCGCGCTTGGTACGCTGGGTTCCTCATGCCCCTCTGCTGAAAGAGGTATTAAATCTCTTTCAACCGTCCCCGCAGGCGGGAGCGAGTCCCGAGTCGGCGATTCGTCCGTAGCTATGACTGTGTGCTCAGAGCCGTGCGTTGACCCAGTCGCACTGGCAGCGCTCCTACTACGCGGCGATGAATCTGGGATTGGGTCTGGGACCGGGTACAGGGGGTTTAACGTATCGCGCTCCAGTTCGAACTCCAAGATGATGAGCCCAGAGTTGTTCCCGGCCGGGTCAGACGGCCGGTGCATCGCGCACCAACAAGTCCATGAGTGACGATCGTCGTTAGGCTCGTTGTTAAGAGAGCTACTTCCCGGGGCTCCCCATCCAGTGAGCGAAAACACATGGGGCGACGCCTCCTCATCCTCATCCGCATTCTCGGAATGAGGGAGGAACTGAATGTTGTCCCAGAGGACTCCAGCCTGAGAATCGGGTAGGATATCGGTGAAGCAATCTAGGGAGAACAGGTAGCGCGGAGGGAGGCCGAGGATTTCTTCGGCATTCTGAGCAATAGCGTGAGGATAAGCAGATTAAGTGTCGATAGACACACCTCTGAGACTTGACGGACGAGTAAAGTATCCTCGAGCTCATTGACGACAATAAGAACTCCGAATCCTTGCACAGCACCCGGCGTGCGAATTGGCTGCAAATCCTTTAGTGCTCGAAAAGGGATTAGCGAGACGCGCACCTCATCTTCGCAGCGGGCAAGTGTGCCCTCTCGGCCCACAATGACGTGATGACCGTATTCGTCTTGAACGTGCTCAAAACGAACAGTGAGAAGGTGTGAGGTGTTACTGGCGTCTGAGCTCGAGGCAGGCTCGGAGCCTAAGCCGGATACCCGCGTGGACGACGAGCCGTTTGACTCGAAACGTTGATCATGAGCAGATTCAGAACCCTGAGCAGAGGGGACGACCTGGGCGGGGTCGGAGCGTGGGGAGGAAGCTGAATGGCGGACACCGTCACTTGGGGGAGCAAGGTTGGGAAACAATATCTCAGAGTGGCCAGCAGAAGGGCCTGTACGAGTTCCGCTACCCAGTACTGTCGCAGAAACGGGAAAGGTGTCTCTGCTAGTACTGGGTACAGACGGAATTGTGGGGAGGCGAACAATGCCATGCCGGGAGAGATTCCAAGGCTCAGACTCGCCCTTGTCGGGTACTTCCTCCGGTGGCAGCGGGTCGTCGCTCACGGGAACCTGTTTCGGCCGGGCGGGAAGCTCAGGCGGCGGCTCCCCGGGGGGTTTGCGCTTTGGCGCAGGAGACGCTACATCCGCTACCGGAGTGGAGGCAGAAAAGACGGCGAGGCGATCGGGGGGCAGCGGACGCTGCCTATTTGAGGTCGTACTGAAAACACGGCGTAGATTTGGTCCAGAGTCCTCGCCAGGAAAGTGTCTGAAGTTTGATGTTATACTGCGCCGTTTCTGGGTTCCTTTTGAAGGAAGATCGCTGAGCTTGATCGAGGGGGTGCTCGAAGACTCTGAAAGGGATCGTGTTCGGTTTACTATGGGGATGGGAGCGGACTCTGTGCTTTCACTCCTCGAACGGGGAAGAAGCATTCCCAGGTCAGATTGACCATAGCGTTGAATAGAGCTGCTCAAGAGGGATCGGACGGGAAACACATAGGACACAACGGCTGGTTGAGATACGGCTGGTTGGTCGTCCATGCTAGCCAGCTCGGTTTCGACCAACGCGGCAAAAGCCCGGAATGGGGAATCTCGATTCTCCAGCGCTATCAGTGGCTGTGAAGTTAAAAATAACCTCGTAACACAAGTAACAACGCTCGTTATAATACATTTACTGGAAAAGCTTTCGTCGCTCTGGTGGTCTAGTAGAATGATACGTGCTTTGGGTAGTTCGCTCGGATGCACGGGGTCCCGGGTTCAAATCCCGGCCAGGGTCCTTTTTCATCAGGTTCTGGTTATACCCATTGGGTACAGTAGACTCACACACGATCTTTCCCTTACTTTTGCGTTTTGTAGCATGCGATGGTCTCCGTCGCTCAAGGTGAATACTTTTTTAACCAACCGCCATTTACGCCGGGTTCCCACGGTTCAACTGAGGGGCTTGGACGACGGTGTCCATCACTCAAGGTTAGCACACAAACTCGACTTCGACAAAAATTGACTTCGACGACGATGTCCGTCGCTCAAGGGGTACCCAAAAATCGGCTTCGACGACGGTGACCCTCATCCCATCGCCGAGATCGCTGTACGTCTGACATGTTTTGTGGGTGGACGAATGAATGTGTTAAAGTGAGTCTCCCTCGCGAATGCGTTTCATTTATGGTCAAAGTGGGCGCAGAGAATAAACACGACGCGCGTTGTGGGACTGTTGGGCGTCATTTGCTGCTGTCTCAGCGAAGTCGTATTTTCAGCTACTAAACGGCAAAACTCCACAACTCTGCAACGACATCCCCACCCAATACCTCTTCCTCCCGAGGAAACAGATGAACGTCTTTCCCCATTTCCACCGCAACCGGCGGCTCCTTTTTGATCTTCCGGTTCGCATCCGCATCGAACAACTACGCTGCTTATGAGCCCTCTCCACGCAAAGAGAGAGGAGAAAACACTTACCGTGCCATAGGTGTGATCCAAAAAGTCCTCCATCGAATAACTCGGCTTCGTAAATGCTTCGGAGAAGATCTTGGTGAGCGTTGAAACTCCCGAGAGATAATGCTCCCGATGTGAGTTGAGCTCCCACAACGAACTCTCGATGGCGTGGGTGAGCAGTGGGTTCGGTTCTGTCGCGTCAAAGGGATCGTCTGAGGAGTCTTCGGGGCGGTGGATCATGGCCATGAGCGCCGGGTGCCGTTTGAGGACGTTGTAGGTGAACGGGATGATCATGATCACCGCTGCTGGCGGTGCGGAGAGCGAAAGGCGCGCGAGGCGTTTGATGAAGGACTGCAAGGAGGGTCGCGGGGATGTGTCTAGGGACGGGGGTAAGCCAGTACGACTATGAAAAATAAACAAACATACGTTGAACTGAGGAATAGCTCAGTTAAACGAAAGAACCGGGCGCGATGTTTAGAATGCAGCACGTCTACGGTCCAGGAAAGCATATAATTTTGTGTAAAAGGAAGGATAGTCTCTGCGAACGCGACTGAGTGGCCCGTCCGAGCAGCGGAGCAAAAACCTACAAATTATACTCCTTCATGAGTACAAAAAGGGCGTTGAGCGCAAGAAGCCCAATGACTCCACCTGTGGAATGATTAGGACAACACATAAAGAATGATAACGCAGGCGAACACACACCATGGTCAACACTATTGCCAACCCAATCCATTACCAAGACTGGCCGCGTCAGATGAGGCATAACACCGCGATGCATCACATTGAGCGCCCTCTGGGACAAAGTTTTACTTGTTGCGACGTCGCGCACCGCGGACAACTTCGGCAGTAGCGCCAGCCATGTGCGAGTAAAAACCGCTCGATGCGACGGCAACGAGTGCAACGATTGATGCAGGGTTAATTTATGCAGCCTCGCACCCGGTGTTTTCGGTTTTTCCGCGTCTTTGGCCGACGTATCCTCCTCAAAGAATTTCCGCCAGTCGTCGTCCTCGCCTGCATCCTCCTTGTCCGCCTCTTCGTCCGAGGACACATCGTCCGCGCCGGCAGACTTTTTGGAAGGTTTCGGCTTCGGTGGTTTTGTCCCCATTTCAGATACCCACCACGCGTTGAGCTCGGCTTTTTCGGTGGGGAAGGTATTGAGTCCTTCCAAGATCGTTAGGAGATTCGCTGGGAGGCCCGGATGCTCAGAGATGGATGTGGTGGTGATAATTGACCTGCAAATTATGAGCTTTTCATTCGTTCAGGCTCGATGAGAATGGCGTACCCGGCTTCGCGCAGGAAAAACCATCTCACATCGTCGTGAATGCTGAACCATGTTTCATGAAATAGATGGAGGACGTCCGCGTCGAGGATACCCTCGCTAGTCTGGGCAACACGTCGAGACGCGGGGCATAACAGTAGGGAAGACACAATCTTGCGGAAATGCGAGACATGGAATTGAGGCTGCGACTCGGAGCTGGCAGCCGTCGAGAGGTGTTTTTGAAGGGAAAATAATATCTGCAGCGCGGATATCTGGACAGAAATCTATAAGCAATGGATGAAATCTGCGAGCAGGATAGGGTATATACACGCAGTAATTTTTCCTCGTCTTTCAGGAGGCCACACAGAAAGTCGACATAGGAATTCAGTCGGTCCCATATCCATGCTTTGACGACCTTGGTCGCTTCGTCCACACCCGGGTTTAGTTTACCACCGGTTATTAGGATAATAAAGACCCTATATAAAGCATATATAGCCTTTGAAGTGTCCTGAGCATCGTCGGCGGCGAATGCGAGCTCCAAGAGGTCCGCTAATGGATTTAGCGAGGTATTGGCGGCTGCGGCGGAAGTAAGCTGCTCCTCGAGGCGTTGAATCGATTTCGTGAATTCGGAATCCTTGTGTATTTTGCGCTTCTTGCTCGGAGGCGGCAGCGACGACGGTGCGGGGCGCGTCATTCTTTTTGGGAGGGGAGAAATTTCGACAGAACACAGCCACACCTGTCAAACCAAATATCGATCCGCATTGAACGGGCCTGATTCCGTAGTACAGGATAGAGGACATATCCAGCGAGGAGGGTATTGCGAACAAAGAAATACATGTATCATTGTCCAGTAATTTTAAGAGGTGGACTACGAATCGCTTCCATCAGCGCGGTGCGGTAGTTGGCGAGGGCGTGTTTGGTCGTGTTTGGCAGGAGACTCCGAGCGTAGTAGGACGGATCAGCGTAGTTTCAGCCAGATCTCATCTTGTTTCGTCGTCCACGAGCGATTCCCTGTCGGCGCCCGAGAGCGGACTCGACCACCTAGCCCAGCGGTCCCCTCGTCTTCTAAGTCTGAGTCTTCTCTGAACCAAGACCCCCAAAGCGTGAACGCCAAGTCGGATGCCAAACTCGTGTATGCAGTGCTTAACCAGCGGTCGCCGACGAACTTGCGGAGGTGTTCGTCGTTGCGAATGTACTCGTGCCAATCCTGCTGGAACACCTCTCCGCAGAGCCCGTTTGCGATACGATCAAGGTCGTCCTAGACTCGAGGCAGTCGCTTTTCTGGACGGCGGTCCGCTATCGGCTTTGATCGACTGTCATCAAAGTTGTAGAGCGAGCTGCTGGTTCGAGCCTAAGGTCGTCCTTCAACCTCTCGGGACCTCCTGCAACTAGCATCTCTAGACTTTTCATCCCCATGTACATCACGCATGATACGAACACTTCGTGGGCGTCTACATGAACAGCCTGGAAGGACGGAGTGGCGTGTAGGATGTTCTGCCACGACGAAAGATTGAGGAACTCCCGCTCCGCTTCTGCCATGCTTAACTGCTGGTTATCTGCGGTCATCCGGCGGGACATAATCAAACTGTGGTGTTTCGTCGGAAACGAATCCCATGTAGTTGAAGCTGTTGACGTCGGGCAGCAGTATACAAACCACTTGTAGCGCATAACGCTGCTGAGAGGTTTGTAGTGGGGAAATGGAAGATAGGGAAGCTCCAGGGAGTCGTGAAAAAGTTCCCCATAAATGCACAACAATAAAGTCGTTTCGGGGTCTTCACACACCGTCCAAGGATGTTGGGTTGCAGGGCCCGCCGCGAGGTCGAGGCGCCGATTGAGAGGATTGAGTATGTCGCATTTGTAGGTGTATAACTTTCGAATGTCGTCCATGGTGAGCTCCGAGACGTTGATTGCCAGTTCCAGGAGTGTATCCACACCGCCCTGTATGGCATTCTCCAGTACGAACCGCCGCTCGTCATCTTGGACAGCCCAATCCGCAACTTGCCTAGCGGTAGCGGCAATGAGAAGGTGGGGATGGGACCGAAAGAATACGCGCCCAGAGTTGGCGGCAAGTCGAGGTATGAACTTTGGATTAGTGTTCGCGCATGTCCGGAAGAGGGTGCGACAGGTGGAGAAAAGAGAGCAGAGATCCTCGATGGAATGGAGAAAATCTGGGAGATCTAAGAGAAGTTCAGCCGGGAGGGCGACCAGCGACATGTTCGTCGAGGAGGTTACGCAAAAGGTTCTGGCAGAAAAGAGCAATCAGTGATTGGGCCGGTGCCCGACTGACTCCTTTCTCGATGAACAGCTCCGCGCTGTGCTAGCCTCGTAACCAGCCTCTACGTCGAGTAACAGTCACTGTAAAAACACACTACAAATTATTTGAAGTCGATCGGGTGAAAACTGAAAGAGAAAAAAAAAGTGGCGGCAGGGTTACTCGAACGTAGATACTACTTAGATTCTGGAATATACTTCAATCTGGGCCGCCATGGGACACCTTCCGGATCGACCAATTGCACGTCCCGATCCAACAGCGATTCTGCCCATTTCACCCAATAGCTCTTGGATATCTCACGGCTAGTATCACTTTGAGTCCAGGCCATATCGATTAGGAGGTAAGGGAGACCTACTCGTTTGTGGGCCATATACACTCTGAATGTTCCATCCCTCGGAGCGCAGGGAACGGTGTAGTGTCCAGAGAGCTAAAAAAGCGGCCCAGCGAAGTTCGATGGGCGGGTTTCATGCCGTAGGGGTCGACCCTAAAGACGATGTGCTCGAGGGAGGCATGTTTGTCAGGAGGAGTGAAGCTGGAGGCGTCAACTACGGTCTAGAGCAGACGGTGAACCCATGGAGCTCGTTGCGTGTGCCTACATACCTTCGGCCTACAGGAGATCCCGAGAACGGTGATTGAGGGACAGCTGGCAAAGATGACGAGCTCGGGGTCTGCTAGCTGCAGGGAGGAGACTGCCAACTGCTGGAGCTTTTTTCCGTGTTTTTGGAAGAAAGGGAAGCCGCCTTCCGCTTCCGCAGAGAAAGTTGTGGTCCGCAGCGACGGTAATCTAGTGCGAATTAGCGACCCGGGATTATTGAGATTG